AGAACCAGCTTTGGCACCAAAATCAGCAGATTGTCGGCAGGAAAATGAAAATTTCCTACCATTCAGCAGCCATCTTGAGGAGGAAATATTTCTTTGTAATACATCACTCATGTAGATAGTGGAAATAGATGTACGTCTAGAACACAGATCTATAAAGCTTTTGAAATCATTATAGAATTGCAGAATTAGAAGGGGCCATTAAGGCTATCCAGTTCCACCTATTGTCCACCACAGGAATATAGAATAAAGCATCAACAGAAGAATGTCTAGCTTCATTTAAACAGAACGAAGGAGAAACCACCCTTCTATCTGGAGAATTGGTTCCATTATCAAACATTTCTTTGTAAGACTGAACTATAATCTGCCCCCTAAAAACTCAGCCCCATTTATTTCATGTCCTGCTCTGTGAAACAGTGGTGAGCCGGTCTTGGTTTGAATATTTTGGGATGATGTGGAAAATAACTCATCAAGAGTCATCACTATATTTGATTAATTAAATTCCTCATCATGTAAGAATATTTTACTAGGTTAATACATTTTGCTATAGTTATGGTACAGAGAAAATAATTGAGAATTATTTTATATATTGTTGGTTAATTATTTAGAATGAAATACCTCACGAAAATAATCTTCATGAAGCCAAAACCTGTAAGCCCACAAGGTCCCAATGAGAGGTAGAGCCAGAGGACCAGGAGGCAAATGTCTTTGGATCTGAAGTTGTCTCAGGAAGAGGAGAATCAGCAGAGCAAGCAGAAAAACAAAGAAAATTGTCCCTATGGCCATCATTGTCCTTCTGGATCTTTCTCTGTGATGCTTCCAAGTTGATCTGCAGGTGGCTCTTTCTTTTTATATCATGTCTTTTAGTTTCTTCCTGGCTTCTGTACTCCACTGTTTGGAAACTAACCACAACATGTGTTTTGATTATTTGATTCATGCTGGTATTTTCTCAACAAGACATTGCTACATTCATTCAGGTTAATGAGGTTGCCTCTGAACCACGTGCCACACAAATAACAGAGGAAGAGGGTTGTGTAATCCATTTTGTCCCAAACATTATAGTATACCAGAATTGTTTTAAAATCATTGTGTACCACATTTCCATGAAATCTATTTGAATTTGAAGGAGAATCTTGTTGGGCCAGAGAAACATTATCTAGTTCAGAATTATGTCTCATACACACCCTTGCAAGCCCAGCATCATGCTAATATGGAGGGCTGTTGTAATAAATTCTGCAACAACTGTTATTAATTGAATGTTGTCTTTAATCCAAGCATCAAACGTCAAATTATAGGTAGAGAGCTATAGGTGTTTAGAAATATCTATCCTAAAAATGATGTCAATGTCATGGTTCCGACAGATGAAACTCTTCAAAAGAACTTTGAGGCATTGTTTATCTTAAAGAACCTTTATTTTGAGTAGCATAACATCGGCACTGCATAATCGAAGCCAAAAACTGAATTCCCCTGCCCTGAGCACATAGTATCAAAGCACAATTCCCTCCTCCAATTAACGGTCATAAATCACATTCCCCAATTAGCTTGAAGCACAGGTTTCCTCTCCAGTTCTCTGCCCCTCCAATTCCTTATCAGCTCTGGGTTCAATAGCCTTGTTTCTCACGCTAGGTCTAGAGTTGTTATCTCTAGCTGGACTCTCGTTCACATCCCCCCTCCCAGCATCATCTAACTCTAAAAGCAAAAGGTAAAAAATGGCTACATTTCCATCTGTTGTCAATGCAAAAACATCCGATGTTAGCAGCGTTGACAGTCACCACTCCAACTGCCTAATCCATTAGCAGAGGTTGACTCAGACTTCTATCCTTCTGAGAAGGGTAAATTGAGAACACAGATTATTGGGGACAATATCCTGACTCTGTAAACTGCTTAGACAGGGCTGTAAAGTACTGTGAAGCGGTATATAAATCTAAGTTCTATTGCTATTGCTATTCACCAAGGTGACTCTAGGTGATATGTAATACGTGACTTTCTTTCCCTAATTGCTTTTGCCCCTACTCCAGTCGTTGCCATTCATTTAAAAATTCCCCTCCTATTTACAGTAAGTGAAACATGATCAGAGGTATGTGAATTAATGGGCTAATATCTTGTTAAGAAAATACCAGCACTGATTTGACAGAGCATCAAAAGATGGGTTACTATTAATGTGCAATCAGCGGAGTACAGTTATCAGGAAGAAAAGCTAAAGCAACAGATAAAAGAAAACAACAGCAATTGTAACAGGGACAGGAAAGAGTATCCCCAATCACTATGTGGATGAGAAGAAGAGGAAAATTTTGAATACCTGAATCCTTCAAACTAGGTTGCCCTACATATATCTTTTAATAGAGTTAACATTGGAATAACAAAAAGAGAGATTGTTTTATCCTTAAGTCCACATCTCCGCTGTCAACTTCTTCTAATAGGCCCAAAGGGGGGCAGAATGGCTACCCACTAACAGGGAAAGTAAGAGTGTTTGCTGATATTTAAATGCTCCATAACAGGGATTTTCAACTGGGCAGGGCCGCATACCACCTGTGGTACATTAGCACATGGCAGGTGGTATGCGGCCCTGCCCAGCCTAGTGTAGTGGGGGAGGGAACGAGCCAGCGCAGCACTGGACTTACCGTGAGAGAGTTCTCCGGAGCTGCAGAGTGGCTGGGGCAAGGCAAAGCCCCCAGGCTCACTTCCGGTTCACCCGGATGAGAAAGGAGGAGATGGAGCGTGGAAGGATTCTTATGTGCTTTTGTAACTTTGAAGTTCTGGAATTTGTGCAATGTAGACTTTGTATTCTTAAGGAGTGTTTGGCAATTTCTATTTGGCTGATGACTGATGTCTCCTGTTAGCTTCTATTGCTCTGCTATTCTTAGCTGTAAGTTTTGGTGCAAGGGATTTTGAAGTATTTTTCTCCTGAATGGATTTTGCCTGTAGCATTCCTTTACTTATGAATGGAGCCATTTGGGGAGGCTGCCTTACCCCACAGCCAAAACTTACTATTTTTTTTTCCTTAAGTGCTGGCTGTGCTCCTTAACTTTCCTTTCTAGCTAGTAGCTAATTATTAAAGGGGAATGTGCCTTTTTAAGCACATTCAGCGGCTTGTCTTTTCTGTCTCTGGAGATTTTTCCTCGTTTGATGAATATATGGAAGAGGGAAAATATGGGGGGGGGGTTTCAAATGCTTCCTTCAGAAGGAAGGAGGGAGGGAGGAAGGGAGGGAGGGAGGGAAGGAAGGAAGTCCCGCCTTAGCACTTGGCCACCAGCAGCCCTGCCATTGACTTTGCTTGTCAGAAGATTGCAAAAGGGGATCACATGACTTTGGGACACTGTGACCATCATAAATATGAATCAGTTGCCAAGCATCCAAATATAAATCACATGTCCCTGGGCATGCTGCAATGGTCATAAGTGTGAAAAATGGTCATAAGTCATTTCAGTGCAATTGTAACTTTGAACAGTTTGTTTGTTTGTTTTTGGTCAAGTTTTGCTAGGTGGTACTCGAATATTGCCATATCCTAAAAGTGGTACAATCAGTGAAAAGGTTGAAAAGCCCTGTTCTATAATACCTATTATGCTGCTTTGAAATAAAATATTTTCTGGGTATAGAATTATTCCCACTAGATGTGTTTTATGATAATAAAATATGGTCATTTTTTCATTTCTAAATAAGGCTCTAGGAATAATAAACTGTCTACCACAGGCAGCCTTGAGTTTGGCCTTGACTTAAGTCATGTGCTGACAAAAAAAGGTTTCTCATAAATTTCTAGAAACAGCTCATTCATTCTTTTGGAGCCCCACCAAATAGTGAGCTAGATGAAATTAATGCAGTTACAATGGACACTGTTAATAACTCATACAGCAGCACAATCTCTGGCTGAATTAGTGGCAACATCCCCCCAAAAGGGTTGCAAGAACAATGGTACCAATCTACAAGCACTTCTGATACACTTTGACTTAACTGAGGATTTTCAACAGAAGAACAACCAGAAGGAAGACAATACAGCAATTTTAACAGGTGAAGAAAGATTGATCTTGCACCTTTAAAAACAACAACTGCATTTCCCCTTATGCTATGGTTTTACCAAAGGGACGGCAGGGTAAAAGGACACACACACATACACAGACCCCAAAGAAAATTCACAAAACTTTGGATTTAACCCACTGCCATGAACAGTCTAACAACACCTCTAGCTCAGCAAACTTAATCAAATATTGGAGATCTTCAGACCTCTTCTAGCATTGAGCCTAAGATGAACAAACTTAACACCAGTGCATTGGAGTGGCAGGGGAAGACTCACAACGAAATTAGAGCAAACTTTGCAACAGAAGGAAGACAATCTGGTAAAGTATTTCATAGATCAGGTAAGCTTCTTTGGCAAGTAAAGTAAAAGAAAATTGAAGTTGCCAATCAGTATGTATACTTGAATATATCAAGTTCCCTTGATCTCATATCTATTGATGATTGACAGAATGGGATACCTTACAACCCACCCCTAAAAAATTCCTTTTAGAGAAAAGTACAAGTAAACTTAGCTAACATGTGATCTGAAGATCTAGGACATTCACGTCACTCATGGCGAGATCACTTTCCAGATACCAGGAAGCTCACTGCTACCACCCACCTCTCTATTTAGATCGTATCATTCAGAACCAACTGGTTTCCAAGAGGCACTTGGGGAAATGTCCCAGAAGCCTGGCAGGCCCTTCTGTGGGGAATCTACTCAGTCTCCAGAATACAGGGATAACAAAGGGACCAGGCAGATTACTCTGAAGGGATCACTTTGTTTACAATTTGATTCAGAGGAAGAAACATCAAAGAATTCTGGGAGAAGAATTGCCAGAACAGACAGCTGGAGCAATACTGGCAAA